TTTTATACTTGTTTTGAAGGCTTGTCTGCCATGTTTTTTTTTTTTTTTTTTCTTTTCTCTTTTTCTCGGGTTTCTTAATTTTTTTGGTAAGGTTTGTTATTTTTCCTCCAACGGAATATTCTCGCAGCATTCCTGATACAGCATTTCTGTCGGCAGACCGTACGAGTCGTAAATTACAGTGTCTGATAGATAGACGAGTCATAGTACTATGTACATCTAGTGCTCAGCCACATATGACTTGAAGAAGTAGGGTTTAGATGTATATCTCCGTTCTCCGTACTTCCGTATGTCAGTCTAGATCGGACGGTAACGGCGCATATGCAGATTCTTCGGCATCGGGATTTGCTTGTCGGCATTCTCATCTCTACTGACTGTTACCGGTAGTTATTTACCGGTAGTTATTTAGTTATTTAGTTGACCAGTTACTGGTAGTTACTGATAACCAGTTGCTGGTCAACCAAGTAATTAAAAAGGTTCTCCGTAGTACTACATACTCCGTAAGGTTGCCACATTCTACTATCAGGACTAAAACTAGTAGTACCTAGTTTGTGGATCTCTGACATCGCCGGGTATGTCCGGTGCAAATCAGCCACGGCGCATCATGTAAGGACGTTGTGCCTCAGCCACTTGCCTGACCTCTACGAGTACGGAGTACCTACTACCTAGTAGGTAGTACCTAGGTACGGAGGAGTAACTACTAGGTACCTAGGTAGGCTAGGACCAATACATAGGTTTCCTAGTAGGTATCTACCTAGTAGGTACCTAGTTAGGTACCTCTAGGTAGCCATGAGTTACACTAGTAACACTAGTAATACAGGTACTGTATTGGTATCCACTGGAGGAATCAATCTCTGACTACCTAGGCACAGACTACATACTAAGAATGACTAAATTATTATATATCTAGTCAGTATCTACTGTAGAATACAATAGGTACTAAGTATGGAGACTCTGTACTAATAACTTCATGTAGTGCTCGCAAGTTGTGGAGTGAGGCTGGGGTTGGGGCTGGGCGAGGCTAAAGGGGGGGAAACACGATCGATCGACCGACTGTCATCGCCGCATCGCATCGAACTGGTGGGAACTGGCTCGTGGGGAACCCCCGAACTATCCCGCGTACGGCGCTGTATGTATGGTATGCGTCGTATGCAAAAGCATGTATGTCACATCCAGTATTTTCAATACTGTAATTAAAGCATGCTAAACCTTATGCGATTATATAAGCACTTGGCAGCGCTCTCCTGTCAGTACTACCCAGGTACGGAGTACATATGATGTCCTACTCTCAGTATATGGCCTACTTGTTATATAGTAAAACGATACTCCGGTCAGGACTGCTGGCTAGGTAGACTATAGTTAAATTGTCGAATAACCTACCTCACTTAGACTGGTGTATACCCGTCGAGTGGTCACAAGTCTTGATAGCTGTTTTGTTAGCTATCAAAAATCTTGTGACTACCTAGGTACTAGATAGCACAATAGTATGAGCAACTTCACCTTGTATACCATGATATCTTCACGGTATACCTAGGTATGCAAAAGTCCTTCCATATGGGCAGAAACACAAGCCATGTCGTTCCTTTATAACGGTCTGACAATGGCTGACTGCCCATCATCACCACTCGATGTCAGGTCCGGGAATTAGACCCAGTCTATCCAAGCAAGCCAAGTCCGAACCCCTGCCAAGAAGACGCATCTGAGAGAGTACCTGTCAATCTTCAGATGGACAGGGTTTAATTAAATGAGACCGAATTGCAGTCACCGTCGGCAATCGGTCAGGATGCAGCAGGAAAAGAAAAGAAAACAAAACACCCTGGTCCCTTCATGTCGGTCCGACATCCAGGGCCTGCTGTCAGCCCCGATCCCGAGACACACGCGCCGTTGATTATTATCACACTTCACGCAGAGACCCTGCTCAACGCCCTCTGGAGTAATCACTATTATTTGAGATATAGCTGCCCGAACGTGGTCACGTCATCTCCGATTCCCGAGGCCCGTCATCTGCAGGATTAGCATTCGTCGGTGAGAAGGATGAGAAGGAGGAGAGGAGGAGGAGGTGAACCTCCAGACAACAGAGAGGTTGAACAACTGCCCAAACGAGATCAAGGAATAAGAGGCGTTAATCTCCTACCCCAAGCTTCGAAGATGGTCATCTGAGGTCTGCCGGTGTCTTTCTCAGCTGCTGACTGGGAGGAGGAACTGTCGTCGAGCTCCCAAGGTTGTTCCTTCGTCGTCGCCCTCAGGGAAAGATTGGTCGAGGACGCCGATCATTTCCCTTCTCCGAGCAACGGAAGTGTTTGCTCTGTTTGCTCTTTTGCACGCTCTGATTGGCCACGGCTCCGACAATTACCCGAGGTTAACGCACTGCCCAAATGGGAAGCCGGCAAGTTGCCCCCCTCCCCTCATTTCTTCATCCCTGTCGCTCCAGAGCTCTGCGATATTATTAACTTGATCTTCGTCATCACGGTGTCCGGTGAGTCCTTGTTTCTTAGTCTCCTCCCTCACCCCAGTCGTCTTAATCGTGGGGACCCATGACAGCTGGGCGTGTGGTGCCTGAGCACCGCACGCTTACCACTACTTGGGATCTACCTGGGGACTGTCGGGTCTGCCTCCAGACTCCGGAATTCGACGACTGGAGACCATCAGGAGATGCGGGGAGGTGCTTGATTCCGAGGCTAACAATAGTCTACTATGGAGTAGGGAATGATGAGCAGAGGCCACTCTTATCTCTCGGAACAGTGGCCGTGATCCACGTATACGTCCACCCGCTGTGGCAGAAGATAGCTTACGAGCTACTATTCACTGCGCTTGGAAAGCTACTCCGTACACTAGGCTCTGGTTTAAAATGATACCTATCATACAGCCTCGGTCTTGGCCAAGGATGACATGGGTATGAAGCAATCCCACTTCCTTTATGGCCCCGTAGTTACATGGAAGGCTGCCAAGGACTCTCCAACCAGGCTATTGTGGAGTAGACAAATCCTTCTCGTCGCCTGCCCATCAGACAATGGTGGAATGACTGTCTGCCTGTGTCTGTCTTGTCTTTGTCGGCTTCCCGAGACTGTGGTTTGACTACTGACGCCGAGAGTGCCCGGATGAGGCGATTGATTGCCTTGGCCTCGTCTGACGAGGTGATCATCTCTTGATTGCAACGGCTGGACTTCGCTTCCAAAATGAGATTGGCAAGATGGAGTCACTGGCAAAGATGCCGGTCCACTGGGAGACCTGTGCTTTGAACGCTTCAGTCGTAGTGATGACTGAGCTAAATTTTTCCGAACCCACTTCGCGAGCTATCAGCCAGAACTAGGCCCATGGCCCCATAACACATCATCTCTCGCGCCACACCGCGAAGGTTGTTCACCAGGAAATTGTCTCCAGAAACTTGGCACTTTTCCAAGGCTGCCACCGTCTCTTTCCCCAAGCCCCAGGTATTCGCGAAGGAATCTTGGCCGTTCCACTCCTTCCACCAGCTGGAGATAAGCTTAGCTAAGCTCACTGAGTGCTCTATACCTCTCTCTCTCTCTTTTTATCTCCCTACCTTCTTTATTTCTTGACGATGGTCACTCCTATGCATTTTGACAAGCTGGCCAGCGTGGCGGCAGCTGTTGTTATCACATGCATCTAAAATTGACCCAAAAGGGCCCGTGTTCCAAGTCTCTCTCGAGCAGTGCGCGTCCGTGCCTGCTAGGCTTGCGGTGCTGTCGAACATGGGCCGAGCCAAGTCCTTTCACTGGAAGTCTGGTTCCGCGCCACCATTCGATGCATTGTTTCTAGAACGGCTCTAGTGGAAGGAGCGGCGGCCTAAGGGCAAGCCATCCTTTTGAAAAGGGTAAGGGATTGCACCAGATGCACGTCCGGTTAATCTAAATCGCGGAGGGGGTTGCATCATGACCTGGGTGGGGGGCGAAGATTTCACAGAGACTGGGAGATGATCGGTTTTATCTTAAAAAAAAAAAAAAAAACAGCCAGGCTGATTAAACAGTTACCGCGGGGAAGGGAAGAGGACTAGGGAACGGCTAGTACCAAGTACCAAAAGTACAACGACGACATGCAACAATAACAGAGCAAGATATAATGTCGATCGAATCATGCCAGTCCCAAGGGTTTTATTCCTGCCAACCTCCTCTCCCCACGGCACACACCGTCCCATTTCCATACCCACATTGTGGAGATATGTCGGCGTGCTATATCCTCCGATGGACGGATGCTCTGCCAAGCAGCTCGAAGAGGGGCTTCTTCTCTGTTGCTGCAGCCGATACTACAATCCTTGATCAATCATCAGCAACAGTAGCAGCGGGGTTCGACCGTGCTAACAGCAGGTTGCCAGCGACTCGTTGTCCTTTCCCCACTCTGCCCTTCCCCAGGTTTTGCTCCGTCTTCTCTGGCCAAATCTAATACCTCCGATCCCTACCCTAACTGGGACGCTAAGCGTCCGCCATCCAGTCGCTACCGCCTGGTTTCGCTTCCATGCATACTTCTCTTCTCGTTCCATCAGCCTGTGCCTCAATTTCTATGGGGAGATAAAACCACACGGCTAGCCCACCTCAGCTGACGCTGCCGCTGCCCGCTGGTCTGCTTTTTCCCCCAGTCCCTGTCAATCGCTCACCACACCATGTCGTCGCCCGTGGAGAAATCCTCCAAGCAGGCGTGCGACAATTGTCGTCGTCGCAAGATCAGGTGCAATCGTGCTGAACCGTGTGATAAGTGTCAACGTCTGCTGCTCTCCTGCTCCTACAGTGACGTGCTCCGTCGCAAGGGCCCCAAGTTTCGCACCCTCTACCCCCTGGCGCCGATCCATCCCCTCTCCGCGCGTGCCTTTGAGCTCTCCTCTCTGTATTCCCTTGACCAAGATCTTTCCATTGATGTCTTGAACCTCAATCGTCGCTTGAGCTCCCCGTCGTCGCCCACCTTCGCCAGCAGCGGTGAGGGCCAATTGCCCCCGTATGAGTTCGCCGAACAGTTCGCCGAACAGTTCTCGCGCTTCCTGCCCCAGGACGTTGTCGTCTCCTCGCCCGAGTCGTCGGGTTCCACGCCCCCGGACTCGTTCACTGGGAGCCTGTGTGTCCCGAAGAAAACGCGGCTCTCTGCCCCCGTATTACTGGCGCACGTCAACGTCTTTTTGAAATATCTCTCTCCTGTCATGCCCATCGGGCGCCGGGAGCTCCTCCAGCGGGATAGTCACCGACCGGACAAGCTTTCGGTCCCTCGGTATGCCTTCATGGCCGCCCTCTGTGCGGCCACCCATCTGCAGCTCCGGCTGGATGGGTCAGCCGCCGCCCCGTCCGACGGGCAATCACTGCTGTCTGGAGAGGAGCTTCTTGCCGAGGCGGTCCGGGCCCGGCAAGAGTGTGATGTCGTTGAAGAGATGGATATCGAGGCCCTTTTGACTTCCTTCTTCCTTTTTATCTCGTATGCCAATCTTGAAAGACATGACCACGCCTGGTTCTATCTCTGTCAAAGCATCTCCGTAGCCTGTACTTTGGGTCTACATCGGGAGACCACGTACGCCGAGATGAATTCGGAAGAGGCGACCGAGAAGCGGAGGATATTCTGGTTGCTGTTTATCTCCGAGAGGCAAGTCATTGACCAAACAAAAACAAAAACCACTCCCTACTCTGTATGTTTTTATCTGTCTCGGTATTAGTTGCTGACTGTGTGTTTTGGTGTAGGAGTTATGCACTTCAACAGTCGAAGCCGGTCCTGTTACGCAGCTCGATTCACAAGCCCCAGGTGCTCAGCGCCGAAGACCCGATACTGACGTACGGCTTCATCAATCTCATCACTCTCTTCGAGAAGTTGACGGTCAATCTCTACGACTGGATCTCCACCGGGGCTGGGGATTCCTTTTTCGAAACACCACCCTTTGCCTCGATTCAGTCGAGTTTATGCAAACCCATTTCCTTGGATGGCGTGCTCGAAATCCAGCAGGTCGACGTCCTCATTACACAACAGTGGCTTCAGGCAATGATGTGGAAGTTCTCCATGTGTCATACCTCGCAGCCGGCCATAAGAGACGAGACGGTTCTTCCATTCCAGCTGCCCGTCTTGGTAGCCAAGTCCACCATGCGCGTCATCAGTGCTGCTTCGCAGACTGCTATTGACGCGCACGGCATTGGAATGGTTCGTCTTCTCCTCCACCTACCCCTTCCTCTTTTCCTTTGACTTCGGCTCACACGTTTTTAGGAACAAAAGTTATATGATATTGGAGCATGTCTGGCAGAAGTCATCCGCTCTCTGGGCTCCAAACTCGAACTCGGCCTCGCCGACACTGCCGTGAATCCGTCCGAGATTCTTTGGGGCATCCTCAACACCCTAGGACGGATTCGTGGCTCCCAGTCTCACTTCTACCCAACACTCATGGGGCGGTGTCAGAGTGCCTCAGGAACCGACTGTCCCGTACCCACGGACCCCTTTGCTACCCCCTTGCACACCCCAACAATAGACGAGATATCTAAATGGAACAGTCCAGATCTCGACTGGGCGATGATGTGCTTTTCTGAGGATATACAAGGCGGCCACTCCTACAGTCATAGCCATTCTCATTCTCATTCTCATTCCCACTCCCACTCTCACTCCCATTCCCATTCCCATTCCCACTCCCATTCCTCTCTACTATGACATGAGTTTTTTACTATCCTTATTGCCGGTGTCACTCCGACCAACATCTCATAACCGACCTCTTGACCATTTTCTCCTCTTCTCCTGCCACCATGAACATGGTCTGAATACCCTCTTGCTTGATAGCAACGGAGTTTGGCCTTTTTTCTTTTTTCTTACACACACACACACACACAAGATGTTTAACGTGACACACGCTTCTCATGTTGATGTACCTAATGGTTGATGAAGACTAAGGTCCTGGCGCAACATTCAGGATAGATGTCCTATCTACCCTGTCTGTTTATAGCCTCGGCCTCTGAGTGACGAAGATAGATAGATATATATACATATATATATATATACTGACCAACAGAAGAGAATATAGAATAGAATTGATGTTTCCTAGGTATTATGCATGAGGATTATTCTATAGAAGACAGATAGGACGTGATACTTATATGTTGTTTATTTCTAATATGATCCCAGTCGCCGAATGACTAGATATCTATCATGACTCTATCTGTATATGCCGGGGAAAAAGCCAACCCATCGTACCCAAGTAAAAAGGAAAAAAAAAAGAAAGTAGGCTAGGTTATACTACATGTGCATATAGGCTAGTTACAGATTGAGGGAGTATGTACCCTACCTAGTAATAATAATAACACACGGAAGAGAAAGAAGGGGGGAGAAAAAAAGGAAAACACATTTCATGGGTCATATATTCAATCTTCATGGCCGCCAGATCAGCTCTAGGATTTCGGCGCCTCGCGAGGGATCCCTACGGATGTACCACTGGTGAACGGAGCCGTCGTGGTGGTCGAGAAAGGCGTCCTGCAGCAGGTAGCTGACTTTGCTGGTGTCCTTGCCACGCAGGGGTCCGAGCTCGTGCAGGAAGGCCTCCTGGGAAGCATCGTCCTGGTCGCTATCCCAGGTGTCTTCTATGCTGTGGTCGTTGGGGGCGAGGTCTGTACCGCGGTGGATGATGGAGAAGCCGTTGGTGAGGATCCAGCCGTCGGTGAACTGCCACTGGTGGAGGAGGCACGAGTCGCCGCAGATGTCGGCCACGACGCTGAGTTTGGCCATGTCGGCATGAAACCAGGATTTCCAGTGGTGAAGGGATAGAGGTAAAGGGCGACCGGCCTCGAAGAAACCCGAGACATCGCCCATCATGTCGAGCTGGCGGAGCCGGTGGTCGATCGTCAGCCGTACGGCGGTGTTCTGGTAGATGCACTTTGAGATCTTCTTGTCGCCCGTCGTGTCCATAAACTGGCACTCCGGGTACGCCGTATTGAGGGCTTCAAGTAGCGGGCGCGATAGGAAGACGCCCGCGCCCCCATACGCCATCATGCCGAACGTTGCGATCTGTCGGATGCTCTCCGATACGCCACCTAGGTAGATGGGCGCCGTGTCGTTGTAACCCGCCAGCGCATCCACCAGCGCACTCATCGACGGGAAGAATGTGTCGTCGTCGATGATGCACGCCCAGCGCGTCTCCGGCCGCTGGTTTTTGTGCAGTAACGGGATGAGCGAGAAGTACCGCTTATTATACTCCTCTGACGACTCCGAGATGTACAGGTCGATCCCCATTGCATCCGCGCGAGCCTGTACCTCGGGAATATACTGGCCGGGCTCGAGAAGCGCGAAGATCCGCGTGTTAGTGTACCCGGCCCAGTGGGAAAAGGCGTCTAGCGAGTCATTCAGCCGTTTCACCGTCGTGGCAACACCGAAATCAATGTGTGAGGCGTCCGCTCTTTTCGGCGGCTCAGGGAACTCTAATGCGATAGGATTGGGGTTTAAGCATCCATTCGGAGAATAATCGACCTCGTCTTGATCCTGGTCCTGGCCCTGATCCGACCGTTTCATCCAGCTAGTCTCCCATAATGGAAAGTCGAGTTTCTGCGTGATGGGTAGTTTGGCCCGAGATGGCAAGGCGACTACCTCCCGCTGGGTGAATTTGGAAAGCTTGTGCACACCAAGTCGGGCTAGCCTTGCGACATCGACATCGCAGGCGATGCTTGTTGACACGGTTATGTTCGGGGCGAGCTGGATCTGTGTACCTCCGAGGAAGGTATCTGGCCAGAGAAAAACGGTAAAGCCGACAATGAGTATAGATGCGACCAGAAGCCGCACAGCCTTCTTTCCCAGCGCTGTCCCACTCCAGGCGAGACCGTCTCTAGTTTTCAACATATTCCTCTTCCCCTCCCTCTCTCTCTTTCACAGCGACGACTAGGTATATCGCGGACAATACAGTTAATTAATGGCGAGGTACCGGTTGGATCCAAGCATTGCCAGGACGGACAGACCCACCGGTAACTCTTTGAGACTTTGACGGTCGCGTGCACGGTGACAGACAACCAGAAAGACTGCCGCAAGAACCAAAGAAGAACAGAAATAAAATAAAAATAAAAATAAACAGGATGAGGGTATGAAAACGACGGACAAGCAAAGAGAGGAAAAGACAGACGGGCCACCACGGTCTGGGTCGGGGTTAGGCGAGGAACGTCCCTGATTAAAACTTCAGGGTCACCCTGGGCACTGGGCAGCAGCAGTGGAGCGCGGGCGACAAGCCCACCTGGTCCAGTGGCCAGCATCCCAGAGAAGGGATCTTCAGTGGGACCAAACAGATCACTTTATCCCCTCCCAAAGAAGCCTATGGAGTACGGATGTAGGACGGAGTACGCAATGCGGGTGTGGCAGCCAGCCTTCTGAACATTGTCCGTTTCGATTCGTGGCGCTTGCCAAGAATCTCGAACAGAACGCGTGGACACGAAAGATACTCCGTAGCACTCCGTAGACAAATGATAATAATAACCTGATCGGCAGTTTTGGAGGTTAGCTCTACTGGTGCCGATTGCCGATGGGGAGAAAGATCAAAGAGACAGGGCAGTGGACACAAACGTCTTGCTTGGCTATCACGACTCCCAGAGAAGTGCTCCGTAGTAGTTACTCCGTACCCTGTACTATATATGGAGTGCTATTTCGAGACCGCTGCTCTGAAGCGGGCGCTGAACACGTAATCCCCTGAATCGACTCCGTAAAGCGCGTCGGAAAAGCAACTACTAATGTAAGCAGGGAATCAGATGAGTTCTTAATCTGACCAGGCTGGAAACTCAACTGGAAAAGTTGGCCGTCTTGCTGTGTCGTCACACAGGAAGAGATCTGTCAATGTTATTCTTATCATCTCCATCGTCGTTGAGGAGGATTCTATAATTTCTATTCTGCTTAGACCCGTGACTGTCTTCCCACGTGATCAATTCCTCCTTAGTCTTCTTCGCGACGACTTCAACGTACTCGGTAGACTGACAACTAACCATCATATAATGTACTACATACGTTGAAGCGCCTTCCCTGTCTCCCCAGCTGTCGATAAACAGATCTTACGGAGTACTACATATCGAGACATCGCCAGAACCAGACCAGGATGATCTTGGCTGCATCAACCCGTCAGCCAGTACGGAGTAGTTAGTACCTAACTACGGAACCGTTAGATGGTTAGATGCACCTCAAGAGCTATTTTTTTACATGATATTGGTTTAACTACAGAGTAGCATGGCTCTCATAGAGTACTGACTCGAAGATCCACAAAAGATCTGTTGGTAATTCCCTGATCATCATAATGACCGATCCAAAGGAAGTGATTCTGACTTTTGTTCCATTAGGTACGCCGTAATCCCCCCTATATGCTCCTCACGCTGCCCTGCTATTTTGATCGTCATACGGTGTCAGGCTTTACTACGGAGTACTTCGTATTATCGACGGAGGACTTCGTATCGTTCCTTGACAATGCTTGACATGGAATAACTGTGCAGGGATACTATTTCAACTGAGTCTATTCAATAGCCCTAGTTGGAATGAGTCAGGAGTCAAATTACCTCTTCGCTAAGTTCCAGGGGTTTGTTTCCTGCAATTTCGATGCCGGCGCTTCTCCTATACCTGTGGCTGATCTCCACCAAAGGAGGCAGAACTGCGAAAGCGTTTTATCCAGCACAAGAAGAGCATAGTTATTTCTGTAGACAAAGTACAGAGTAGCTAATAACTACTATTTAAATTATTTACTACTAGCTTCTACTCTATTCACTCCATAGGTAGATTGATACTTTAGCATAGCTTATCTCTACTCCGTACTCTGTAGTTACGATCAAGATACAGCTCTTGCAGCTTCGTGAGAAATCGAGTTGGTCACTACAGCTAATACAAGAACTATCCTGCGCATTAATAGTATTATTATATGAACAATAGTTGAGCTATTAACTAACTACTGCAGCCTTATACTCTACGGCGGGCAGCAACAGCCATTAGCGCAGAGCTTCCCATTACGGAAAAATGACTTTCCGCACACTGCTGACTGTTTCGGTGCGGGCTGCAAGCTGGTGCTTCGGGGACAGTCTCTCTGCGAATACATTCCACCTTTTCGAGCAGGCTAATTGACTCTCGACACAATGACGGCCGCCGTCGCGCAGTCGCTAAGCTCATTGCTGCAGCGGACGACAATCGAGGACCACGAAGCGGTGCTGAAATCATGCAATGCGGTGCTGGCCAAATCCAAGTCCGACACCCGGGCTCAGCACGTCAAGGCTGTCGCCCTGCTGAAACTTGACCGGTACGAAGACTGTCTGCGGGTGTTTGAGGACGCGGGCGATGCTCTGAAACAGTCCGCGGGGCTCGAATATGCGTATGCTCTCTACAAGTGCGGCAAACCTGAAGATGCAATCACGATCGTGTCCCAGCTCGGTGCGGGGAGAGGGGCACAGCATTTAGAAGCACAAGCGGTATGCATTACACCCATTGTTTAAGCCTTGGCAGATGAAAGATACCCCAGGAGATGAAAGGCTGATTTTGCATCGATTTCTAGGCATATCGTGCTGAGCGATTCCATCGGACGGCCGAGATCTATGAAGACCTCCGCGAAGAACATGTGTCCATGAGCAATGAAGAGAACGACCTGCGGATTAATTCGTGGGCAGCCGATGCACAGCTGCAATGGAAGGGGCAGTCGGATTCCGTTCACCACACAAAAGCCACGAGGGATGATCTGGAGGCATTCGAGACGGCGTTCAACGCGGCCTGTCTAAGCCTTGCCAAGGGGGAGTTTGGCCAAGCAGAAATCCTCTTGACACGTGCGAAAGGTTGGTACAGAAAGATTTAGTATAGGAGGCATAGCCTGCTGACTGCTTGTAGAATTGTGCCGGACATCGGAAGATCTGACTGCGGAGGATAAGGAGGCTGAACTGGTACCGATTCTGGTCCAGCAGCTGTATGTCCTCAACAAACAGGGCAAGCAGGCGGAGGCCCAGGCTCTCCTCGAGGAAATATCCATCAGCAAGTATGTAGACTGGGATCCCTAAAGCCTGCTATGCTAACACACATTGATGAATGCAGCATCTCCGACCTGTCCACGAAGAAGATCACACAGAATAATGTTATTCTTACACAGCAGACCTCGCCAAACCCATATGTGCTCTACAAAGCTCTGAATGCTTCTCCCACCCCCGTGGATAACGACAAGCTGTTTGAATTCCAGAACAACATCCTCGTCGGAAACACGCACACCGCTGATCTTCTGGTCCGCAAATACGACGGCATCATCCGGTCCACGTCCAAAGCGTTATCCCAGAGTCCCTGCCCCTCTGTGTCTCCCAGTGTCAACCTCCTCGCTGTCTACAATGCAGCCGCGCATGCACAAGGCCAAACGGGCGCCCTGGCCCTCAAGGCGATCTGCCCGCTGCTCGAGAGGCGACCGAAGGACCTGGGTCTTGCGCTGACGGCCGTGCAGCTGTATGCCAGCACGGGGAACACCACGGCGGCGATCCACACGCTGGAGGCCTTCCTCCGGGGCCTCGAGGAATCCATCTCCGAGGACGACAAGGACGCCCGTTTCAACCCGGGCCTGCTGAGCGTTCTCGTCTCGCTGTACAAGCGCGAAGGGCGCACGGCACACATCCGGTCGGAACTGGCCAAGGCGGCCGCGCACTGGCGCGACCGCTCCGAGCCGTGCATCTCGCTACTCCAGGCGGCGGGGACCTCCCTTCTGCACTCGTCTGACCGCGCGGACCTCGAGATGGCGGGGACGCTGTTCCGCTCGCTGCACCAGCGCCAGGCGGACGACCTGTTCGCGACGGCGGGCTACGTGGCGTCGCAGGCGGTGATCAACTACGCGAGCATCGAGAACCAAGTCGACCAGCTCCCTTCCGTTTCGGATCTCGTGGCAGACGTCGACGTCGACGCCCTGGAACAGACGGGCATCCTGCCCTCGCCGGGCTCTGTTGCTGCCGCGGCGGCAGTGATCGCCGGTGCGCGCGGTAAACGCCCCGCAGCCCCCGGCGATGAGAAGTCGGCAAAACGCGTGCGCAAGTCCCGTCTGCCGAAGGAGTACGACCCGGCCAAGACGCCGGACCCGGAGCGCTGGCTACCGCTACGGGACCGGTCGACGTACCGGCCTAAGGGGCGGAAGGGTAAACAACGGGCAGCGGACCGGATGCAGGGTGGGGTTGTGAGTGAGAAAGTGGAAGAGGTCGCTACTACAGTGAAATCTTCTGGTGGTGGTGGTGGTGGTGGACAGAAGAAAAAGAAGAAGGGCAAGCGGTGATGTTATTCAATTTATAGCAAGCTAGGTACATATTGAAAAAAAAAAAATCATCCCAACGGTGTCCGAATCGTCCCACACTGCCGATCATACTGGTCAAAGATCATCCGGAAGAGTCTAAGATCCAGAACTGCGTCATCCGGTGAAGCATCAGCAGCAGCAGCAGCAGTAGTGGTGAGATAGCGATGTAGCCGTTTGAAGAGAGCCGCGTACGATTCAAACAAGGAACTTGTGTGTACTTTAGTGTCTGCGCCTTGTTGAACAAGAACCCTTGCAGGGGTTGCGCGCGGATGATAGGGATAATCGTATTCCACGGAGAGAGTCTTGCCCTGTGCGTAGACGGTGAGATGGGCGTCGCAGCGGGATACGTCGTCGACGCCCGCCTCCCAGAGGACGGCAAAGGGATGGCCGGTTCGATCTGTGTAGTGGAAGGTAGCCGAGTAGAAGGGGACGTTGATGGAGATGCCCGAGACGGACTCTGGGACGCCGAGGGTGTCGCGCAGGACGGAGAGATCGTGGCATCCTGCTGCGGTGAGGAAGCGGCGTAGCGCGACTCGTTCCGGGGTGAGTTCTTGGCCTTTGAAGACTTCGCGAAGAAGAGAATCCCATGCTTTTCTCAATGAAGAAGAAGAAGAAACAGCGGTTTCGTTTTCATCCGTTCCTTTCGCTTCTTGCACCACTGTTGTGAAGGGGATCCCTGCCGGGGTGACGAAAGCAGGGGACCGTCCTGTGATCCCCCTACACCGGACGTAATGGATCCGTTCCAACGAGGCTACCTCCGCCTTGAACACGTCGGTGAAGCAGGGGGCATTGCGGCGGGCAGAGCTGACGAAGACACGGGCGTTGTTTGGGGCGGAGGATGCGGCGGCGAGGATGCGGCGGGCGCTGGCGAGGCTTGGGGCCAGGAGGGTGTCGAGGACGACATGTTTGCCGGCGGCCAGGGCGGCGAGGGTGGCCGCTTCGGAGGTTTCGGGGGGCAGGAGGTTATAGATGACGTCCAGGGAGGAGTAGGAGATATGATCGGAGTCGGAGGTGAAGGGTTGATCGTAGACGGCCTGGAGGACGAAGAGGTCTGGGAGGGACTCCAGGACGGGCTGGATGAGCTCCGAGACAATCGAGGCGGAGCCCAGAATGCCTATCCGGAGAGGCGAGGACATCGCAAGTCAAGTAGTTAACTGGTTAGTTATAAGTAACTCTTATATCAGTAATAGGATGTATACTGTAAAGGTTCTGACATCAGTGGCAACTGGAGGTTGTCCAGTTGTACGACATGACTGAATCCTGCATATCCCTCCTTACTAGTGGTATAGAGAGACAGCCAGTGGATGGTGTTCGAAGTTCCATGGATTAATAAACCTATGAAACAGTCTCTGCCTGAGCATTATGTTGTTATTGTAGAATTGTTTTTGTTTATACTTCTTCTTTCCATGGATTATTGCGGGGAAGTGCCTTGATGCCTTGGCCTTATTGCCTTGATGCCTTGGCCTTATTGCCTTGATGCCTTGGCCTTATTGCCTTGATGCCTTGGCCTTATTGCCTTGATGCCTTGGCCTTGGTGCCTTGGTGCCTTGCCAGCTTCTCTAAATCACCACAAGAACGACCTCAACCACCTCAACCACCTCACCATAACCAGAATGCTGTATCACGCCCCTTCATTAAAGAAGAGTGATCTAGCGCCTATCCAAGCTAACATCCTCAAATCGGCACACCTACCAACTCACCCTCTTCTTACACATGGATCACTCGCGGACCACTGATATGAGCAGGGAAACAGTCTGCCAGGAGTAGGCCTTACCCAGGCAGCGGCGTGGTTTAAGCACTCTAGCTTGGCCGTCAGTCTACAATGACGGTCATGGTCTACATAGAACAGACCGGTATGCTTCTATGTACTGTGTGCCAAGCAAGGCCTCCAACAGACAACAGTTGCAGGAGAGAATACGATGTTACATGGATATTCAACACCTTAGCATTGGCAGATCACTGGGTGTGTGCTATTTCTAGAATACGAACGGACATATGATATCTGAATATCAGTACTCCGTACTACAAGATATGTTAGGCCTCCATCTCACCGTCGATCTGTCGATCTATGAGTTGTCTGTTCAAGCTGACATGAGATGTCTATAAAGCTCGATCATGCTCTACATACAGACATATTCTACTCTACTCAGTCTATCTATACTAGAATAGCACTTATTGATACTTGCTATTTCTGCTCTACTCAGTCTATCTATAAAACACAGTAAGTATCAAACCTTGCTATTTCTACTCCTTTCTATAAAACACAGTATCAAACCTTACTGTTTCCACAAACTGACAATCCTAGATGCACATTCTCACCCTCCTGTCCCTCGCGACGGCCATCAGCGCCCAGACCGTGTACATCGTCGCGCAATGCAACACGAACGCGACCGCATGCCAGACCGTCGGCGTCCCCTGCAACAACGGATACCCTTACCGGTGCCCCGTGGAGGGCGACGAGGAGGATTACTTTGGGATCTTGTGTCGGGATGCGAATGCGTATCCGCAGATCATTGAGAGTGGGTTGACGCTTGAACAGGCAGAGCAGGTTGCTGGATGTCGTAGCTAGATTCTAAAAGTCGATGGATGGTACTTTAAAAAAAGCCACAATATTAGTAGTAGATATTCCTTTTTCCCTTTTTCTCATATTTCGTCAGGCAGGCACAGACCCATTTGTGACAACACCTCGGTAGCAAAATCCCTGAATCCTGTGTTTTCCGACGCTGATGACAGTCCATCGGAGAGCAGCCGAGTCAGCCTTATAGTCTATGGTGCACCTGCATGAAGACGCAAGACATTTAGTAAATACTCTGCCTGCAGATTCTACAGCCGCTGATTCAGACTGTTTATTGATGAAGCCAATATTGACCTGCAGGCAGAATCTAGGAAATATGACGGGACGGCTCTTGAATATAATACCTTGGATATCTAGGTAACTATACTACATATACTAGGGACTAGATGATTATTATCTAATTACTAGACTATGATTAAACTACCTTAGTACATAGTAACTAGGAATTATTACTTAATAAGGAGACTGTGGCTGTGTATTCAGCTGAAGGCCAAACAATAGTCATACTGGCTTCAGCTCTAGATATTAACCCAACCATTACACCACTTGACTTGACACCTAGAGAAGAATCTCTTATCCCCAATTTAGTATCATTCTCATCCTCAGTTTATTCATCTCCTCATCACTTGATCCATCTAACCATGGGTGTAAGTGTTACTTCACTCTTTCGTATCTTTTCTCTGCCCCGCGTCTGCCCCGCTTAGATTCTGTCTTGCGTGGCACGAAGACCAGCGCGTGTGCAGACAGAGACAGAGACAGAGACAGACAAATGGAGTACAAGACTCAGACTGATAAACACAGTTTGCCTCGAAAATCGCCGCTTCGCAGCAACAGCAGCAACAGCAGCAACAGCAGCCGTCTGCAAACAAACCAGGCGTCTACGGCGGTGCCCCTCCTGCTGGCTATACGGGCGGGCCTCCTGCTGCGCTTCAGCCTGGCCAGAAAACCGGTGGATACGTATGAGAGTCATATTAAATAATCAACAATCAACCTGTTTAACTAGTGAATTGATTAGGCTGACTCTTAGGCTTTTCGCAGACGCAGACGCAGCCATACCAGGCCTATCCGGGCTCACCTTCCCCCTCCACTCCAGGCCAACACGGCGGCTCGGTAAGCACAGAAGATCCTCTACCTAGTTTTATCCCTTGCCCTTTTCCATTCTTTTCTCTCTTCTCGTTTCTCGTTGCACTCTTCCACGGACTGGATTCCGGATCCAACACCATCCTCTCTTCGCCATCATGTCGCAGCAGTATAGCCAACCTGGATGGCAGAACCCACAGCAGCAGCAGCAGCAGCAGCAGCGCCCGCAGACACAGTCGCCGTATCCCACCTCCTCGTCTTCGTCGCCTGCTCCTCTGTCTCAATACCAGTCTTATCGTCCGACGCCGTCTCCAGGAGGACAACAGCAGCAGCAGCAGCAGCAGCAGCAGCCGCCGCAGCCGCCGTCTAGCAGTGCCCAGTCGCAGGCCCAAACCCCGCAGGCTCAAACCCCGCAGGCTCTCCAGGCTCACCAGGCGTACCCCTATCAACCCAGCTACCAGCAGCCTTCATATGGTGCTCACCAACAACTACAACAACAACAACAACAACCTCAGCAAGGTGGATATCATCAGCAGCAGCAGTCTTATGGCCAACAGCCTCAGCAGACCTATGGAAGACCGCCCCCTCCCCCGCCATCGACCCAGCCATACGCTTCCTCGGGACAGCCATACCCCCCTCAGTCTCCCTATGTATTAAATTTCCAGCAATTCTCTACTATTTTGATTTTCCATCGAATCGTTGATTTATCTATTGCTTTTCTGACTTTATTCTGACGATATCTTCAGGGACAGGCACCCGCACAAGCACAATCGCCTTACCCCCCCCAGAACGCCCCATACCCTGGACCTCCCCAGCAAGGTGGGTTTCCCGGTGGACAGTATGGCCATCCTGGCCCTAGTGGACCTGGAGGCCCAGGTGCGCCGCCTCCCGCCGCCGCCGCCGCCGCCGCCGCCGCCGGTCGTGCCACGGAACAGCAGGTGAATGCCTACAGACAGCTCCTCGTGGGCACCATCCAGGAGAAGCAACTGCAGCCCTTCTGGCCCCCTGAAAAGCTCGATCGTCTGCTGCAGAGCTTGGCCCATGATGCCCCGGCCAAGGTCAACCGGTTGATGCACGAGTGGAACGTCCCGCAGGAGGTGGCCGTCGACATCATGAAGCTCGCGCTGTACGACACCATCCTGTACGTCGACGACAGCGGCTCCATGGAGTTTGAAGAGAACGGTCTGCGCAAGGAGCAGCTGAAGCAGGTGCTGGGCATTGTCGCCGCGGCAGCCTCGACCTTTGACCAGGACGGCATCTCGGTGCGCTTCATGAACTCCCCCGAAGCCGAGGACAATGTACGCAACGTCGACGACGTCAACCGACTGGTCTCGCGTGTCCGCTTCTCCGGCCTCACCCCGCTGGGCACCAACCTGCGCAACAAGGTGCTGGACCCGATGGTCGTCGGCCCCGCCCGCGCCCACCGGCTGCAGAAGCCCGTGCTGGTCATCACCATCACCGACGGCCAGCCTGCCGGCGAGCCCCTCAGCACCGTCGCCCAGGTCATCCGCATGGCCTCGGACGAACTCTCCCGCAGCCAGTACGGCCGCGGCGCCGTCGCCTTCCAGTTCTCCCAGGTCGGCAACGACACCAAGGCCCGCGAATTTCTGGGCAGTCTCGACGAGGATCCGGCTATCGGCAGCCTCATCGATTGTACTTCAAGTAGGTGACTGACTCGAATATTTTTTTTTTTTTGGAAGATGTGCTAATTTCTAGACTTTGAGGTTGAACAGGACGAAATGTCTCGCGCCGTCCCTCCCGTCTACCTGACCCGAGAACTCTGGGTACGTTTTTTTTTTTTTTTTTTTTTTTTTTTTTTTTTTTTTCAAAAAAAAAAGACATAATTACAATACTAAGTCATGTCTAGTGTGCCAAATTGATGCTTGGAGCGATCGACTCCTCCTATGACACCAAGGATGAAAAGGCCGCCGGCCATGGTGGCCCACCGCAGCAGCAGGGCTACGGGCAGCCGCCTCAGCAGGCATACGGTCAGCAACCGGCATACGGCCAGCAACAGGGATATGGTCAGCAACAGGGATATGGCCAGCCATCTGGATATGGTCAGCAACAGCCTAGCTACGGTCAGCAGCAACAGCAGCAACAGGCACCCTATGGGCAGCAGCGTGGTGGCCCATCTCCCCAGCCGGGTTATGGCCAGCCCTACGGCGGTTACGGTGCTCCATCCGGTAACTACCAGCAGCACCAACACCAGCAGTACGGCCAGGGCAGACGGTACTAGACCAGGTACTGACTTTGGTGTACTCTATTACTATGGAAAGAGTGTACTTTATGGGCTTGTGTATTGAACTTTAATACAATGATGTTCAATTGGAATTAAAGTTAATAACTAGAATCACAGTAAGTAATACCTAGAACTATAGCAAGTACATAGCTACCTAGTTAGTAGTAACTAGTTAGTTGTCTAATAACTACTAAGTCAATTAGTTTTACCGTACAGTAAATACATGCCTGAGGCGCCACATCCCCACCGCCCACGCGTCAGTCAAAGTTGCAAGTCTTGGTAGGTTGGAAGTCTAACTCCTGAACCACTCTCTCTCTCTCTCTCTCTCTCTGGATCCGCTGTCTATCTCTTCCTCTCGTCATGCAGGTTAAGCTTTTATCTTTCGCCTCTTCCATGTTTTGTGAAGGGATGTCTCTTCCCCCCAGGGGCTGGCTGTGAGCACAGGGAGCACAGTGAGCTCTATGGCCTGACTACTCCGTACCTACAGACGTGTCACAGCCACGAGTCCTGGGAAATCCACCCATTCTAAATCTCCGGTCGAGTACCATGTCTCAAGGTAAAGTTAATATTCTTATTTTGCCTTCCTTCTTGGTATTATTAGATCTGTTCAGGGACCCCAGTTCAGCACTGCCCCATCCAAAGTCCCCCGTTTAATTAATCCACACTTAGCGCTGTCTTTGGTCTTTGGAAGCCCAGGCTAGAATTCCTCCACACCGTTGTCAACTCGTCCTTCGTCTTTCGTTCTATCTCCTTTCTATTCTAGTATTTTATGATTGTTGCCTAAGGAGTATTATTTTTATTTTATTTTATTTTATTTTATTTTGCTTTTTTCACTGTTGAGGTACGTGGATTTCCGCAATCGGCTCTGGTTCGCCTTAGGCAGACGCATCCGGCGTGGAAAGAGCACTTTGGTCGAAGACAACAAAATCTCTCTCTCTCTCTCCCTCCCTCTCTCTCTCTCTCTCTTCATATATTATTGTTTTGATTTATTTCTTTAGATTTTTTTGCTGTCAAATTCTGCCTAGCACTCAGTACTTTGCTAATTTCGCAGTTCGTGGATATGACTCTGCATGCCACACGGCGATAGACTCGGATAGGAATCGACATGTCCGACAATAATAATAATAACAATGAGGGCGGTCACTATTCACAAGAGACTCCCGTCTCGTCAGACCGACGCCCATCAGGGGAAATGAACAGGCGTGAAGGAGAAAATAGGCCTCCGCCGCCGTTGCCACCACCGGCTCGACACTCTTACGACCAGCCACGCTCGTCCATGTCGTCTTCGCGACCTGTTTCTGATATCGTACGCCGCGGATCGCAGCAGCATCATGTCCGTTTCTCTGCGGACATCGAGCGCGCCGAGATTTCCCTCGGCGCAGACACAGATAGGCAGCAGCTAGCCGCCCGAGCGCTCACCATCAACACCAACATCGCACCGGGCGTATCGTCGTCGCCTTTGCCTGTATCGCCGAACACGACCCTATCCTCACCACCACCACCGCCGCCACCGCAGAGCACCGACCTCGGCCGCTCAAAGTCTCGCAATCGTGGTTATTCCCTCCGTCGCACGATCTTCACCAAGAACATTCAGTCACCGTTGGCCGATGAGCATGACCTTAACGCACTCGAGCTGGGAGAAGGCAGTGGGATGGGAGGAGGGACCAAGCCCGTTCCGACGGTGGCGACGACAACAGATGAAAAGCCAGAGGTGACCATCATCCCCTTTACCACCGTCGAGTCCAATCCCAATGAAGATGGCTCGGCGTTGAGCTCCACCCCTTCCACGGAGCCTCTCAAGGAAGGAAGGATATTATTTTCTTCCACTCCGCTTGCGCAGGGCAAGTGGATGATGGCGGGCAGCCGCGCAGCCCCTTCGCTTCTCGTCGCCCGCTTCAAAGCTGTCGCAGAGACCGTCCGCAGGACCATCCTACGCATTCATGACATCCCCCCGAGTAAAGACGGTCGCCGCATCGATTTGGACGCCAACCGTACCGATGATCGAATCGACGAGCGGACGGGCAAGCCTTATATTGGAAACTCCATCCGTTCCAGTCGCTACAGTCTCTACAGCTTCTTTCCTCGCCAACTCTTCGCGCAGTTCACCAAGCTGGCCAACTTCTATTTCCTCATTGTCGCCATCCTGCAGATGATTCCTGGCCTGAGCACTACGGGAACATACACGACCATCGTGCCCCTGTTGATCTTTGTGAGCATCTCCATGGGTAAAGAAGGATTCGATGACTGGCGTCGTTACCGTTTAGATAAGGAGGAGAACAACCGATTTGTCCGTGTCCTAAGACCAGGCCAGGGCCACAACAACGTGTCGGAGTTTAGTGATGATAATGATGATGATGATGATGATGATGATGATGACTTTCAGGATTGGGCCTGGAGCAAATGGCAGGACATCAAGGTCGGAGACATCATCAGGCTCGACCGTGACCAGCCAGTTCCTGCTGATATCGTCCTGCTTCATGCCACCGGCGCCAACGGTTCGGCTTTCATCGAGACCATGGCATTGGACGGGGAAACGAACCTCAAGAAGAAACAGCCGTGCCAGCCGGTAGCCAAAGTTTGTCGGACCGTCGAGGACATTTGCGCCAACAGCAGCAGCAGTGGCAGCGGCTCCATCCACTTTGTGGTCGAGGACCCCAACCTCGACCTCTACAAGTTTGACGGAAACGTGACCGTCGGGGAGGATAAGCTTCCCTTGACCAATAATGAGATTGTGTACCGTGGCAGTGTTTTGCGCAATACCGAGATCGCGATCGGCATGGTAATCTACAGCGGTGAGGAGTGCAAGATCCGCATGAATGCCAACAAGAACCCTCGCATCAAACGTCCCACACTCCAGGCCAAAGTGAACCGCGTCGTGGGGTTGATCGTGTGTCTGGTGGTCATCCTGGCCATCGCCTGCACTATCGCCTACAAGTTCTGGGCCATCAACGTCGGTTCCACGCTGTGGTACCTGGAAGGCGCCACGATCTCCTACGGCCCCGTGTTCACCTCCTTCCTTATCATGTTCAACACCATGATCCCCATCTCGCTGTACGTCAGCATGGAGATCATCAAGGTAGGGCAGATGCTGCTGCTGAACGACATCGACATGTACGATCCCGAGACCGACACCCCGCTCGAGGCGCGAACGTCAACCATCAACGAAGAGCTCGGCCAGGTCAGCTACATCTTCTCGGACAAGACGGGCACGCTGACCAACAACACGATGCGCTTCCGCAAGATGACCGTCGCGGGCACCGCCTGGTATCATGATACCGACCTGCGCGAAGAGGCCGCCAAGGACGAGGGCAAGGAGAAACTGATCCACAAGAAACGCAGTGTCAAGGGCAAGAAAGCCATTATCGGTCGCAAGTCGACCGCCACCGTCACGACGGTGGTTGTTCCAGAAAAGCCCGGGACCGCAGCTGCCCGGAGAATCTCGAATGTGTCTTCCTCTTCTTCTCCCATCGTCCCGGCAGATCTTCTGGCACGATCTTCTTCCGTGATGGCCAAAACCATGCACAAGGGCCGACTCCGTCCGGACTGTCGTACGACCGACATGATCCAGTATATTCAACGCAAACCCCACACGGTCTTTGCGCGCAAGGCCAAGATGCTGATCCTCTCCATGGCCCTGTGCCACACCTGCCTTCCCGAACGGGACGAGTCCGGGACCATTTCCTTCCAGGCATCGTCACCGGATGAGCTAGCCTTGGTGATGGCAGCCCAAGAGCTGGGCTATCTGGTCCTGGATCGACAGCCGAACACGCTGACCATCCGAACGTACCCTCACGGCCTCGAAGAGGATCCCTGCGACGAGATCTACGAGATCCTCGACGTGATCGAGTTTTCCAGCGCGCGCAAGCGGATGTCGGTGGTAGTGCGCATGCCCGACCAGCGGATCTGCGTCCTGTGCAAGGGTGCCGACACCACCCTCATGGGCTTGTTGAAACGGGCGTCCCTGGCGCAGGAGAAGGTGTCGGAGATCGAACGGCGGGCCAGCAAGCGCAAGACCGCGGAGGCGAATGAGGTCATGCGACGCAATAGCGAATACCACGCCAGCCGCAAGGATAGCGGCGTCCGGTCAAGTTTCAGCCGTCCGAGCCTGAGTCGCCCGAGTCTCTCGGGCAGACGATCCAGTGTCTCGGGCAACCATCCCGTGTCATCATCGGCCTTGCGGGACAGCATCGACGTCTGGCTTCGTGATCGGGAGACGGATGGTGGACTGCTGAACCGGGACAGTGGCAGTGAGTTTTACAGCCCACGGCCCTCGGCCCAGTACGGACGACTGTCGGCGGCGTTTTCGGATGTCGCCAGCGTTTCGGAAAATGAAATCGAGGAGACCGTGGAAGAAGAAGAAGAAGAAGAAGAAGATCTGGTGGAGGAGGCGCTGGTGGTTAACGAGGCGGCCGTCTTTGAACGATGCTTCCAGCACCTCAACGACTTTGCCAACGAGGGCCTCCGGACGCTGATGTATGGACACCGTTTTCTCGACGAATCCACCTACCGGACCTGGAAGCAAGCGTACAACGAAGCCTCGACCAGTCTCGTCGACCGACAGGCCAAAGTGGAGCAGGTCGGCCAGCAGATTGAGCGGGAGCTTGAGCTGAGCGGCGCGACGGCCATCGAGGACAAGCTGCAAAGGGGCGTGCCCGAGGCGATCGACAAGCTGCGCCGGGCTAACATCAAGCTGTGGATGCTGACGGGGGACAAGCGCGAGACGGCGATCAACATCGGTCACTCGTGCCGCCTGGTGAAGGACTACTCGACGCTAGTAGTGCTCGACCAAGAGGCTGGCGGGGTGGCACAGGCCATCGACCAGTTGACGGCCGATATCACCCAGGGCGGGGTGGCCCACTCGGTGGTGGTGGTGGACGGGCAAACGCTGTCGACGATCGAGGCGGACGCGGGCCTGATGGCGCGCTTCTTCCGGCTGGCGATCCTGGTCGACTCGGTGATCTGCTGCCGGGCCAGCCCGAAGCAGAAGGCGTTTCTGGTGCGGACGATCCGCAAGCACGTGCAGGATGCGATCACGCTGGCGATCGGCGACGGGGCCAACGACATTGCGATGATCCAGGAGGCGCACGTGGGGATCGGGATCACGGGCAAGGAAGGGTTGCAGGCGGCGCGGATCTCGGACTACTCGATCGCGCAGTTCCGGTTCCTGCTGAAGCTGCTGCTGGTGCACGGGCGGTGGAACTACGTGCGGGTGTGCAAGTACACGCTGGGCACGTTCTGGAAGGAGATGATGTTCTACCTGACGCAGGCGCTGTACCAGCGATGGAACGGATACACGGGGACGAGTCTGTACGAGCCGTGGGGGTTGAGCATGTTCAACACGCTGTTCACGTCGCTGCCCGTGATTTTCCTGGGGATCTTCACCAAGGACCTGGCCGCGTCGACGCTGCTGGCGGTTCCGGAGCTGTACTCGCGCGGGCAGCGGCACTCCGGGTTTAACATTCAGCTGTGGGCCGGGTGGGCGTTGATGGCGACGTGCGAGGCGATGGTCATCTTCTTCGCCATGTACGGGCTATACGGGAATATCTCGATCAATGCGACGGACAACGGGGTGTTTGCGCTGGGCCTGCTGACCTACACATGCTGCGTGGTGGTGATCAACACGAAGCTGCAGGTGCTCGAGGTGCACAACAAGACGGTGCTGTCTGCGGTGGTGATGTTCATCTCGATCGGCGGCTGGTTCCTGTGGAACATCATCCTGTCGTGCACGTACAAGGAGAGCTCGGGGAAAGGGATCTACGAGGTGCCGCGCAACTTTCTGACGGAGACGGGGCGCAACCTGCTCTTCTGGGCGGTGGCGCTGCTGACGGTGGTCGCGGTGGTGCTGTTGGAGCTGACAGTCAGCACGGTGCGCGCCCAACTCTTCCCCACAGACGTGGACATCTTCCAGGAGTACGAGCAGGACCTGGCGATCCGCAAGCGGTTCGAGGAGGCGGCGGCGACGGAGCTGCAGCAGGGCTGGGATCGGGGGACGAAGCGATCCAGCGCGGAGCTGGAGCGCGAGCGGCAGGTACAGGAACTGCTAGCCCGGCCGCGGGTGATGAAGAGCCCTACAGCTGGTGGTGGTGGTGGTGGTGGTGGTGGTGCTGCTGCTGCTGCAGATGCAGTGGAGGTGGAGATGGAGGCGTATGGAGGCGAGCAGCCCCCTGCGCGGCGATCCGTTGATATCCACGAGATGTTCAGCAAAGGGTTTGGTTCACTCAAGAAGGGGCATCTCTGAGAACTCCTACTCCGTCCCTATACCTTATACCTTATACCTTATACATGATACCCATAGATATGAATAAACTCCTCCAGTATACCTCCACTGCTGCCTGGATTACATAAACAACGGTCAGGCCCGTCTAGGGATAGCGCAACCGTCGACGGCCGGGGCTAACGGGGCGTACTAACCACATACGGAGTACCCTGGTTGTACAAGGGATTACCGTAATTACGTCCTTACTAGATGATATGTGGGAAGGTACTCCATAGGGAAGCTGTAAATACCCCGTACTACGAGCTCGCATCCGACCGGCCCCCACATGTGCTCTCCATGGCCAGACCCAGCACGCGCTAGAGACGTTCTAGTCAGGTACCGACCTCATCGATCTAGCGGGTTATTGGCTGGGGGCCTATGTTCCTGGTACTTGTTGGCTGACCTGTCCGTATCCGTGTAGTACGCCGTAGTTTTGACAGGAGGAGTGTACGGAGTAGTCATATTGATAGTAGAGAGTAGAGTAGTAGTCATAATATTTATAGTAGTAGTAGTAGTAGTAGTAGTGTAGAGAGAGAGAGAGAGAGAGAGTAATTAGGACAGACATGACAGACATGCTTAGTATGCTTAATATGTAGTAATTACTAACTAACTAGTCACTACATAGTACTACTCTTAGTACTCTTAGTCTTACTCTTACTCTCACTCTGTACTTAGCGCTAAGCGACACAATAGTCTGACTAGATCCAAGTATGGGAAGATGCCAGGGGTAGTTGGGTACAGAAGACATACTCCGTAAGACTAGTATCTACCCCGTAGAGAATTATCCTGAAATGGAAAGACTAGGAGGATTGCTGTACAATAGTGGAATAATAATATAAATATAAATAATAAAATAAAAATAAAGGATAGAATAATAATAAAAAAATAAAGATAAAAATAACTTGTCCTCCTCGTTGTTGTTGTTCGAATAGGAGATGCACGGGACTCCTTGGCTCGACCCTCCCTCCCTCTCTCTCTCTCTCTCTCTCTCTCCTCCTCTTCTTCTTCTTCTTCTTTCTCCACCACCGCCAGCCGTTCGGGTTGTTTCTTTTCGCTCGCTTTCTTTCTTTCTTCTCTCTTCCCCCCCTTCGGTTCCCTCGTTCCACTCTTTCACGAGGCCCGTCTCGCTCCTTCACCACATCCTTTTCCATTCCCCCCCCCTTCCCACCCCAGCCGGCAGCCTGTCCGCCGTCTTTTTTCCTCGGGATCGATTCTCGCCAACACAACCAGCTCCCTGGTTTTACTCTTCTTTTTTCACTTGATCCAGCTGCCAGCCAGCTTATCCTTCCCAGTCACTCATTCGATCTTTATTGATCCTATCCTGTCGCTCCTTTTTTTGTTTTTTTTTTTTTTTCGGTGGCCGTCCCAGACACGAGCCTCCCTCTCCCTCCTCCCTCACTTAAACCCAAGACGGTCTGTCCAGTATCATCAACAGGAGAAAGGAAACAAGAAAAAAAAAATTACAAAAGAGAGGAACAGGTTTCTTGCGACGCGAGCGCCTGCATTTCATTCTATCATATCAACAACCCTTTTTCTCTCGCGCTTGAGGCTGCTTCGAGAGACAAAACACAACAACAACCGGCTGGATCCCCCCTATCCACAAACACTGCCCAACTCTTTTTTTTTTCGTCTTCGTCATCGTCACTATCTTCTTCTGGATTATATCCATCCCTTTAACCCTGGTCTGCCATGTCTTTGACAGACACTTCCGACCCATCAAACATGTCGTCAACCGCGAGCGTCACCTCTCCCTCCGCCGCCTCCATGTCGACTCCGTCGCCCTCCATCTCCAATGCCCCGGCTGCGATGTCGACGATGACTGCTGCTGCTCCGCGACGCCCGTCGCGCAAGAGCACGCTCACCCAACAGCAGAAAAACAACAAGCGCCAGCGTGCCACGCAGGACCAGCTTGTCACCCTCGAACACGAATTCCACAAGAACCCGACCCCGACCGCCGCCACGCGCGAGCGCATCGCCCAGGAGATCAACATGACGGAACGCTCCGTCCAGATCTGGTTTCAAAACAAGTGCGTCGGGCATTTTTATTTTATTTTATTTTTCTTTTTAGATGCGTGGGCAAACTCTAACCTCCTCCTAGGCGCGCGAAGATCAAAATGCTTGCCAAGAAGAGCATCGAGACCGGCGAGGGCTGCGATTCCATTCCAGAGTCCATGCGCCAGTACCTAGCCATGCAGTTCGATCCCACCAAGCCCGGCACCCGTGATCTTTTCGGTCGCACTGCCGGCTTTGGTGCCACCGGTGTTTATCCGGGGGAGTCGGGGTCAGGCAAAGTTGGTGGGTATTCACTGTTTAGTTTTTTTTATGCATTGTCTCACTGGTTAATACTTCTCTCTCTCTCTCTAGTCATTCATCACTTCACCTGTCGTTCGTTAAGTATCGGAAACTGGCGCCGCATCGGTCAGAATGCCATGGATTTGGTCGTCTTTTATTCCCCGGAGAAAGCGTCAATGACCTACTACATCAATAATGACTCGGCCGGCTACAAGATCGAATATCCCTTTTCCTACATCAAGAACATCACGCTCGAGTCCGGCGACCACCAGAGTTCCAGCCCCGTCGGCGCGGCACCCCGCCCCGCCGGCCTGATCGTCGAGCTCAACCGCCCGCCGCTCTTCTACATGGACTCGTCCAACTCTGGTGGCTTCTACCAGTGCGGCGACTTCACCGAAGACCAGCAGGCTAGCCAGATCATGGTCCACCACCTGGGCGGTCACCCAAAAGTCCTCAGCGTCCAACTCGCCAAGCTCGTCTCCCTCGAGTCCTTCCAGAACCGCATGGCCTATAGTAATAACAGCAATAACAACAACAACAACAACAACAACAACGGCGGCTTCGCCGTCCCTGCCCCGGCCGTCTCCCCCTTGGTCATCCCTCGCCCAGCCTCTCAACCCAACCACTTTGCCCCTGCCTTCCTGGGCATGTACCAGGACCCCAACAGCTTGGGTTTTAACCCTGTCGCCGTCTCTACCGCTTCCGCTTCCGCTGCTGCCGCTGCAGCTGCAGTTTCTCGCGGCCACAGACGCCAACGGAGCCGGTCGGTGCCGGTGGCGGTCGATTTTGCTTCCATGCAGCATCACCAGCCCTTCCTCTCCCTGAACCAGCCGCCCGATCACGGTCTCTTCGCCCCCATCCCTCAGTCGACGCATCCGTTAGCCATGAATCTGCGCATCGACACCTCGACGGCGTACGGCATCGACCCCCTTCGGACGTCAACGCATCCCATGTCTGCCACGACGACAGCCTCGCCGTCCGACTTTGCCAGCCCCTCGTTATTCGTTCCCGGGGACACCACCCCGGTGGCCAACCTCTCCCATCAGTTCAGCATGCCCTTCCTCTCGTCCACCACCATGGAGGCCGGCAGCACACCCACGGCCCCGACGGCTACCATCTCGTCGCCGTTCTCCGTCATGAGTCCCGCGGACCCCATGATTGCCGATCAGTCGCCGCCGCTCGCCAACATGCCACATGCTTCACCGGATCTGTTCCGCTTCAGCGCCGACCAGTCGCAGCCTTTTCCCGAGGACAATACGCTGCTCAACGACATGTTCTCCAAGCACAACATCACCTTCGTTGTCCCGCCGAGCATGACGCTTGAGGGTACCAGCCCGTTCGATCTGTCGATGCACACCGCCGGTCTGACCTCTCAGTCGTCGGCTTCGTCACCAGGCCTTCAGGGGGACTTTCAAGGCTTGGGGGCCTTGAGCAATGTTGACCCTCATCTGGCTCCTGGATCATGACCTCAATGACTTTCTCTCAGCTGGTTGCTATATATAATTTCCCCCCCCCCTTTTTTTTTTTTTCTTTTCTTCTTTCAAAATTATACATAGCATCAGCTGTATCGCTCGGTCGATACACCCCTTGCTATAGACACTGTCTCATGTCCCCCCCCCCTCTTCTCTTTCCCTTCCTACTTAATATATCTCCCGAAGAACTTGACTGTGCGAAGATCCTGGAACAGC